AGAGAGAGAGAAAATCATCGGAGAATAATGAGTGTACACGATGAAAGGCGATGGGGCGCGCCGAAAATCAATGCCGTCGCGCTGTGCGTGCACTGTATATACGCGGTGATATTCAAAGCGTCGCATTAAATCCGCGTGCGGCGCGTGACCCCCTCGATAAAAGCTCTCTTTGCCTCATGAGCATCAGGAGAGCCGAGATTGCCTCTTTACCGCAACTGTATGATATATATGCGTGTGTAGTAGCTTCGGATGATGACGCATTGACGGGCGGAAATGCGACGATGGCGCGTGTAATCTGTCCTCTCGTATACAGACGGACGGCCGGAAAGAAGCGAATGAACATGCATGTGTGTGTGTGTGTGTGTGTATACATACAGCCCGTGCCCTCAATACTGTACGAATCAAGGGAGAAAGAGAATTTGCGGAGTTTGATAGGAGGAAGAGGCACATATTTGTACGAAGGGGGTAGTGGATACACAGACGGATGATGATGATACTGAAGAGGAAAAAATGGGTTTCGAGGACCTAGACGCAGCAGGGATATAGGAGATATACATGTATAATATGATGATGGAAAATGAGCGCGCTTCCACTATATTGTAGTATCGAGTTTTTTTTTTGGGAGATGAATCGAACTTAAATTGTGCAAAGATCGGCAATTTCAAATTGAAGGTTCTCTCTCGTCACCTGATGTGCTAAATCGAGTCCCGAAACTCGAGTGTATACACCATTGGGCAGGTATGGAGACGTGTATCATATATAGACTCGTTTCGGCCGAGGATGAAAATTAGCGTTGATTCGCGTAGCCGAGGGGCGGCGACAGGAGGAGTTGACAGACCGAACTCTCTGCGAAGAGAGAGAGAGAGAGAGAGAGCGAGTTTCTGTATTACATTAGCCTATCCGATCGACCCCTTTTACTATGTGTACCGCTTGGATTGCACCGATATGTTTGCTCGACGTACACGTAATAAGCCTCCCGACTCCGGGTGTGTTTACGCATTTACGCGATGTATATATATGTATACAAACCGATCAATAGTACCTCCATAATACGTCTAAATTAAATTGTCCTCTCAATGCATTGGCTTGTAATTTCATCCCCCTCCTCCTACATCGTACTATCTCTATGCACACGTGGGTTAAGTGCGTTATCGTAGTAAACCGTAGTAAACGTACCATCATTTACGCACATGTCTTGGATTACCTCAATACTAAGTATATGTAATACTATGATGATGTACACACGAGAGCCATTTGAGCTAACATTCTTTTGGTCTACGTGTCTAAAGAAAAAGAAAAAGAAAAAATAAAGACGTAGCGGCAGTTGCCTTACCCTACTTCCGAGAGGCAAAATTGGCACACAGCTGCTGGAGGCACCGTACGTTATGTATAGTATACCTATATGTGTACAGGTGCCCAAACTCCGAAGGAACGACAAGGAGGGTAAAAAACACAAAAGAAGGACGGGCAACGAGACATGGGAAGACGGGAGGAAAAAAAAGGCCGTACGTGCCCGGCGCGTGGGCAAGTTGGTTGTATACAGTGGGCAGGAGGTGTATACATATATACTTGCCCCGCGGCCCTTTCACCCCACCCCCTTTTCTATCTCTGTCCATCTTGTGCAGTGTAATGGGCTCTCGGGCAGCTTCCCGGCGATGGGCCCTACTATCACTAACTAACTAACGCACACTTGATATATTGTCTCTGATACTGGGCTGAACATTTTATTTATAAAGCCAACTCTCCAGAACTTACCTGTATTTTAATTTAAGTAATACCAGTTTTTTTTTTTTTTGTTTTTTTTTTTCATAATCTGCGTAGCGAGCTACACGGTACATGAAATTATTTATTCATATATAAAATTCATGGTTGTCCTTGACACACGACTTTACGATGGTACATGTATGTATGTCGCACAGGAAATGGTACGAGTGCGCACTAACTTCCTCCGGATAAATATAAATACTGAATTACTGATTTGTAAACATGTAACCTTTTTTAAATACTTAACGTTAACATTTTTTTTTTTTCAAGATTTTTTTCTAAAAATATACAAGTGTCCTGAACATACATTTTTCTCTGTCCGTGATTACTTACGTATCAGAAGAAAAAAAAAAATGCATTTGAAAGAGAAAATAAATGAGGGTAAGTCCGGCAAAGTACACATAAAATAGTAGTTTTCGTCACACGACCTAAAAATTTACCACGTTATTTTTTAATAGAAAAACTTGTAAAAGCATAATCTTGCCCCAGTCCGTGCTGAATCTCTTTAGACGTGAAATTTGTCAAAGACGAGAAAGAAACAAAAAAAAAAAAAAAAAAAAAAAAAAAAAAAAAAAAAAAAAAAAAAAGAAACCTCTCTCTCGCAAAGCGCACGAATCTGACAGACTACTCCTTTTTTTTCTTCTCTTGTCAAAGTGAAAGCTGCCGGGCGAGTCTGTTTGTGAAACGCTACGTTCCTTTTTCCAATTCCAAACTGCAGTTGTTCAGGTAGATTTTCGTCGTCAACTTTCGCAGTTAGAAATTTCGTGTGCAATTGCCCTCCTCCACGCGTTTTCCAGAAAAACAAATCGTGTATCAATATTTAACACCGCACGTGGTGGTGTCGCAAGTTACAACACCAGAAATCAATCAAAGCCGAGTTGCCCAATCGACCAAAAGAACGAAACCGAATCATCCCAGGTGTGTGTGTATATATAGGCAGGTATATAATATTACCACCCACACGAGCACGAAACGAGTACATGGAGGAGGCGACACCTCAGCGTATATAGCCTCGCTGAATGAAAGCGATCCCCCCTACGCACAGTTTATCGGATGGTGTTCCGTTTTACAAGTATCAGCGCACCCACGCTTTAACTCACCGACTCAAACTGGGCTTCTCGTCACCCGACCCATTGTCTCTATTTTTTTTTTTTTTTTTTTTTTTCCTTCCCTCGTGGGCATATCAAGTACAACGTGGCGATAGCACCACGTGCTTTTATCACTGGATTCCCTTTTCCTTTTTCTTCAAGATCAGAGGGACAGACATGAGTAAAACACGTAGTAGTAGGTGGTACTACCACAAAGTGGATTGCGTAGTTTTAAAAAGAGACAAGACGCAACGATTAAAGAATAGTCGTATACCACATGTATGTGCAGGTTGAAAAAGAAAGGAGATCCAGTGCATGCGGAAGCTTTTTTTTTCGGGAAAAAGAAGGGAGGGGGTGAAAAGCTTCCATACTTTCTTTATGTTTCAGCCCAAGTGCTTTTGCACACGAGTGTGTAACGAGAGTGGGCCGGTGTAACGTTCATGGTCTTTTTGTTCCGCGGCGAATCGATAGAGTTGTCTTCTCTATGAAACTACGACAGACAGAAACTGAAGAAAAAAAGGGAAAAAAAACCTATCGAAGCCGTTATTGGCGTCGATTGAGCAGCTTTACGAGAGAGAAGAGGGTAAATCGTGAGTTTTGAAACATTTTGTGGAGCAAAAGTTGAAAATCACGGCTCGTTGATTTTTGTTTGTTTTTCTTTTTAAGTTGCCAGTCGATATTGCCTTGGAATCGTGTGTGCTTTATTTTCAGCGGAGGAACAATGACTAACAGCAAAGGCTATAAATTACCAATCTCTTGAGGAAAATCTCGGGGATTTGAAAAATAAGAGCGCCAAGGAATCGTCTTATCTGGAAAACCCAAGGAATCACTGGCTCACGAGTATAATCGTATGACGCACACGTGTATCACACAACTATACACAAAACGATTAGAGACACGCCTGCGTAACTTAAGCAGAACCCGATTTTTCGCTAAACTGCAAAGATGTACGATAATTTTGATACGAAATTTATCTACATACGTTACATATACTGGTATTAGTGAAAATGTAGGTGACCTGATCATTTGAATCACGTGTTGAGGTAAATAATATAATTAAAATGTTTTTAAAACTACATTTTTTTTTTTATCAAAATTTTCAGTTATCAGTAAGAACTGTTTCCATTATATAGTAGTGCTATAATTGTGAAATATTTTTTTCTTCCTCAATCCTAAATTGCCGTACCAAAAAAAAGGTGTAAGTACTAATTATGAAAGTTGACGTTCCCAATATATTTTCACTTTTCGACCTTCCTATATCGGGATCCAATATCTCTCCTATGATAACAGAAGTTACGCCAGCATGAACGTTATGAGGGAAATATTTACCAAGTCGTAAAACGATGTCACCGTCTATTCATGACGCTGTTTAAAAAAAATTACGATAGTAATCCATCAACTGTTTCGTCTTCCGCGCGAGTTTTTATCTGATGCCTTAATATACCTGTATTTACATTGAGATAAAATACTTTCAATCGCAAGATTCCCACGAGTAAAAATACATTTAGTGACCAATAAGTAAAAATTAGATAACATCTTTTCAAATATCCTAGTCACGCAAAAAAATGCACACACGCACTGTTCTTATATATACGCTCAGCTTCAAAGCGCAGACAACTCCCTGGAGTTTAACCCCAACAACCCCACGCCCATGAGCATGCACACAACACATGTCCTAAAAAAAAAGACACCCCCCGTGTAGCCGGCGTCGTGCGCGCACCTCCACCTCCTCGCTAACGCTCTGCTCGCACGAGGCTGCTGTTGCACCAGCCCTGCCCATCAAGGATACTTATCACCCTGGAACGCGAGTGAAAACGAGAAAATGAACCTGCTGGGGATTGGTAAGTATATGAATATGTTTGAACCCAATAACTCTTACCAGTACGTGCTCTCTGCACTCGTATGACTCATATATTTGCGAGAGCACGATAACAAAAGGAGTAACGACACGAGGTACATACCGTACTTATGCATATTATATTGTAAGGTTCCTAGGATACTCGGGTATAATATATAATAGGTATACAGTTTGTCCACCAGCATCAGGAGACAGATACAGTAGGTAGTGTAAGATGGGCTCGTAAGTAAGTATAGCAGTGGGAGCATCGGGGAGAAAGAAACATGGAAGCACACCATCAGAAAACTCACCGTCTTGGCCGGCGGCGGGCTCGCCAGCAGCTGCGGCCCCAGCATTATATATTATTATTATACTTGAAGATTGATACAATTATTTGCTCCGCAGCGACTCCCTTTTTCTTCGGATCAATAGAAATATCCTTTTGCACTGTACTTTGAACACTGCACACGAGCACCCTTGACGCACCACCACAATAATAAAAAATATTTTTGTTATGAGCCGACGACCTACATCAGCATCAGACACAAACTTCAACACACATAAAGCACATCATCAGCGGGTACATGTGTATAAGCAGCGTCTCTCTCGATCTGTCCGATGCATATGGGGATTCCGAAGCACTGCGCCAGTGTCTGCTCCGGCCGACTGCCACACTCTGGAGAGCAAAAACTGGACGCACCTTTCTCAAGCCACTTGTCGTATATCTCACTTCCTTCCCAATGTAATGTACTCACTCCGTTGCACAACACTACGTTCTCGCGTAACGGCGGCGACGACAATAATACATCGGAGACAGACAGACGGATACCGTGGCGGAGACTTAAAATGGCGTTTACCCTCCGGGGCGCTCGCTACGCGCTACCATGAGCTACTGCCATACTCCCGGGGCCGCTTGCTGTGTCGGTTGGTCTGTTTATAACACGATACATACGTAGGTACACTGTATACTTGGCACGGTTCTTCTTCGTCTACTCTCGGTGATGTTGTTCACACGCTACCCATCCACTATCCACGGAGAGAGAGAAACTGGAAGATGAATATATATATACATACAAGTACTTCATTCGGAATCGTAGGTCGCGGGTATCGCGAAATTCGCGAGCCGGAGGCACTCGCGACTGTCGCGGTTGTGGCAAAAAATAAAAATGCTTAGCGAAGCGATACCAGCGCCCGAGGCTTTTTCTGTACTCGCCGTCGGTACGATGGGGTTGCTGTTATCCTGTTATCAGTCCAGCCGATTGCGTAATTTACAATTTTCGACGACCTTATCGCATAGTGCAGCCGATAGTATAAGTTGTGTTTAATTGGAATTGTAACTGATTATTTCGTCATAGGTTTTATTATTATTTTTTTTTTTTTCATTTAACACAAATGCCAAAGCTTTTCGTTCTTATCGTCGCACGAAAACACACGTTCAATTGGGTTCAAAGTTCAACCACGACGGGGCGCCACGTACTCCGTAAATCGAGCGTGGAAGTCACTTAGCATATATTTGTTTAAAAAAAACGGAGTAAGCAGAAGTGCAGTGCGCGATCATAAATGCTGTAAATTGGTGATTTTATTTGTATAGCACGTAAGAATCGTAATTTGATAAGGATTCAGTTATGGAAGCCGAGTCGGACCAGGTATACATTCAAATGCCGTAAATTTTACGGCCAGTTGGTGTAAACAGTGGGGAAATCTTGTTTTAACCTCCAATTTTGCAGGTGCCGGCAATCAATGTCAAAGAGCCGCTGGATTTGATCAGGCTTAGCTTGGACGAGCGCATTTATGTTAAAATGAAGAACGAGAGGGAACTCAAGGGACGTCTGCACGTGAGTTTAACTTGTTCACAAACACGTAAACATTACATTCGTAGACTACGTTGTAGATGGGGTTCACAAAAACCTTACCTCTTTTCCAGGCCTACGATCAGCACTTGAATATGGTTCTTGGTGAAGTCGAGGAGACAGTGACGACAGTAGAGATAGATGAGGAAACTTACGAGGAGGTCTACAGGACCACCAAGAGGAACATTCCCATGCTGTTTGTCAGGGGTGATGGTGTGGTGCTTGTCTCACCGCCAAGTATGAGGGCAGCTATGTAAACTTGGTGTATGTAATATTTCATATGCACTTTCCTTGTAAGCCAGAACGACGATATCACGTAAATTTTACACAAGTGTAATACATGGTGACCTATTTTAGATGATTAAGTATGTTGGATTGACCTAAAGATTAAATATAAGAGTACTTTTCTACATTTTGTGTTTTATTGCACAAATTCTGTGTCAGTCTTAATCTATACTAATTGATGTTGACGGTAAAATTAATCCGTTTGCTTCCTTTTACTTAAATTTTGTCGCAATCAGACGATAACTGTGTATTCAAGTCTTCTAGCCTTTGTTCCTTAAACTTTAGCATGCTCTCCAAGTGTTCGACTTTTTTCAAAAGTATACGTATAGCTTCATCCTTTTCATCCGATTCTCTCTTTAATTTCAAGAATACCCTTTTAGGCACGGTTTGATTCAAACATTCCTCAGGATTCGTAACAAACTTTAGAGGATCTGTAAAAAAAAACTACATTGATTGATCGGCCTCAACCATACCGAATTGTATGATTAAACTCACCATCCATGTCGGGATCCTCGCAATCCTTGAACAGAGAGTTTCTGTCGTCATTGCAGTCTTTAATGATCTTCGCGCGCACGTTGGACAAAACTTTTTCTATCACCCCAGGTTTCGACTGAGCCAGCTGTTCGATGACATCCTTTTTCAGTTTGATATTGATTTTCGGAAACACCCTGCGACTCAAAGTGCACCAATTGTCAACTTTTTTGGCTATGCTGTTGCCGGGAAAGTAATTCTGAATGTCCACGTACTTTGGATAGTACCTCTTGAGTATCTCCGCCATCAAAACTAAATTTCGTAATAGTGAAAAATCAACGTCCTTTTGCAAGAGAAACATCGAACGGAACATTTACCTCCATCCGAGAAATCTCGAGCGATGTTCCGCTTGGGTCTCGACAGCGGAATCTCGTCAAGCCACATGTAAATTTCGCGCAAGCAGTCGTCACCTCCACCGCTCCCGCCATTCATTGCGCATCGATGGCTTTACAACAATGATCACCGAATCTCATTGCATGTACACAATTTAATCACACTCGAGTAGCGTTCAAATATTTTTTTACTTTTCTAGGCAAGGTTAATATTGTCATAGCTTCATATATACATACACGCAATCAGCATCGTTGCACAAATTCACGCGTGTTTTTATGGAAAAACAAACGTCGCTCGCTTGTTTTACTACTAAATCCATAAAAAAAGTTGTATTGAACAACAGCATCCAAGTTCTCTGTACTCGCGTGAAACGAAATTTTGGCATGAAACGCGCTATTGCTCTATTTTTATATTTCAAAACATGCAAACGCGAGGAATATTTATCCATTTGTCGGCAACGTGTTAGCAAAACAATCGAAATTTCGCTTCCTGATGCTGTATATATTACAAATCGTACTATACGCTTGTACCAAGTAAAAGCGTCGCGCATTGCTTCATTTTACAGTAAGATCGTGCACTACCTTGCGGAATGTTGCATTTGTAGGTCGAAAGTTTCGCATGTTTTCATCATACATTTTTTTTTTTTTTTTTTTCTATCTACTATTCAAAAATGCCATCGATATAAATACTCTTGAGCACAACAAAAAAAAAAAAGATTCTTCTACCGTCCAACTCAGGCCGCCCAAGCAGATCTTAACGAGTGCGCAAAAATTAACGAAGGTCATGCATATACACCATCAGCTTCTTTGTTGTCAACCGTTGTTAGTTCACCGATGTAAAAAGCATCGACACACACGTATTATCGATTACCGATATGCAATTCCGTTACTCGAAGCACACGTATACACATACACACACACACACACACACATACTTATATACGTGCACCACAGCACGGATTGTTATTTTATTTAAGAAACGGCATCGATGAAGGGCAACTATGCGGAAATTTTTTTCTCTACTATCCTCCGCTCCAATCGAGCAACGCGTTGACCTTCGCGGCAAAAGCCACCGAGCGCATACACACGCAGCCATTATTTAGTAAACCAAAGATAATTAGAATCCATCGCTATGCGCGTTACGTATATATATATATAAAAATTATAGTACCTAATACATGCATCAATAATAATTATGGTTTGGCACGTTTGTACATGCGCCCCAAATTGTGATCAAGCGATCAAGTTTACCCAGCCATCGGACGACATAATAATATACACATACACTGCAGGAACAATGGTCATAATAAAATATAGTTTGTACAAGTAATCATCCGGGGGTGTCCATATATACATACATGATATATGCACAGAACCAGCTATTTCGTTAAAGTTTCCCATTGATAAAACTACCCAAATCCATGCTGATGTGCCTTTTTTTCATATACATCATGTCCGAGACGAGCTTTTCGCGCGAGTACCTATATTCCTTTGGTCGCTCATGCATCGCGTGTATTAATACAAAATTGCTCTACAAGTACTCGCTGCGAACGAAGGCCGATTAGAACATAGGGGGGGGGGAGGGGCGCATCAGTAGAGCCCAAGAGTTCATCGAGCTCCCCCCCCCCCCTGTTGCCTATACATAGCGCACAAATGGATCCGATGGAGCTCTATTTCCGTCTCGAGCTGCCATTATTTTTAAACTTTGCGTGAAAAGAAAAAGAAAAAGAAAAATACACCCAAAAACTGTGTATCTCCTCTTGTAAAATGTAGGTATACATTACTCCCACGGGAGGGGTGCGCTGTACATACGACACTGGTGCTTTTTATTAAAATTTCTACCCGCGACGAGCTTATCGCGCCCACACTCGTTGAGCGGGTGGTTGTAAAAAAGCTCGTGTTTATAGATAGCAAAGTCGAATCGCTCCCCTGAACGATGCACACGGATATGAATTTTTTTCAATGTATACACATATTTCCCGAAAACAAAGCGTTAGCGAGATCATCGGGATGATATCGGGATGATGGAGAGATAGACTACGATCATCTGAAAAGTAGCGCTCGAGGAGGTTTACGCGCGAATATGAAAAAAAAAAAAAAAAAAAAAAAAAAAGGAGGACGGGGGAGAGAGTAAAGTAAAGTTAAAGTGCGCGTATACGTAAAACCAAACGACGACACCCACGCGTGAGAGAGCGAAAAATATTTTATAGCGCCACTGTCACCGCGGACGTGTGCAACCACCGATACTTTTGCTATATGTATACATAGGTTGTGAATGCACACGCTTGCAGGACATATCCGAAACTCGTATAACTTGGGTCTGTATATGTAAGTTATGTGCTCTGTATTATACTCGTATGGTATATATATATATAGGACTATATGTATACGTATCGGATTCATCCCCTGGTGCATCGATGATGATTTAGGGGCTCGCGCGAACGCGCATAATGAGCGTTTTAGAGGCAACAACGCGATCGTCCTCGCATATATATAAATTGGAGGACCAATGATTAAAAGTAATAGAGGCTTTTTAAATAAATATAAGGTACATGTAAGTATATGGGGGTGTACATATACATGGGACAGCATACATATATGTGTATAATCAAAAGGGGAGAACTTTTTGAAAGAGAGAAAGAGAGAAGCGATGCACGTGAAACTAAGAAGGGCTGTGTTATACACATGAAGTAATACCGGATACTTACTATTTACCCGATCGATACACGCGGGAAAAGCCAGCGTATAAATATAAATACATATGTGTACCCTATATCAAAGAGTATTTACGGAAAAAGGAGTAAAATTACGGGGGGGGGGGGTGAGAGTAAAATAATGTACCATTGACCAACTCTCGTGTGTGTATATGTATACTACGCGGTTTTCCTTTTCCCGAACTATATATAATCCACGTACCCCCTTCAGCCCCGCGTAAAATTGTAAGGTGACTGCAGAGTGTTTATACCGATAATATTACATCGCTCTCGCGTGTCTTTCCCCTTTGCGATCTATACTCCGGCCACATGTATAGTGACCCCCACGCGCGCTATGTAACCCAATGTACGAATGTACGTTGTACACGACGTTGTATAGAGGCACCGCACGCTAGACTTACCCATCAGAAAGAGGGAGGATGGATGATGCTGTTGCTCTGCTTTTCCATTTTCCATCCCCTCGCCCGCTTATGTACATATACATATACACAAAAGGAACCACATACAACCCCCACACACACATGTGTGTATATACATGGCATCAGTGTGACAGGTATATACACGTACGCGCAAGAGTAAGAGGGGTGGGGTGGGACTCGTGCTACTCCGTAGATCGATACCGATATTCCGCGCCACCCCCAACCGACCGCCCCTCGCTATGACGTGGTTCGCTCTCGCGCAAGCTGTACATATACGGAGAGAGAGAGAAAGAGACACGACGCCGTTGCCACGCACAACAGGTTATACCCACACACACGTCGATACGTGAAAAGCTCTTTCTTCGTGGACGGGGTGGGGGTGGAGGGGATGGAGCCAAGAAGATTATATATATATACCATGGGGTGCATGGGGGGAGGAGAAAAACTCGGGCTTCGTCCGCGGCTCAGTCGCCGGATAGCCATCATCACCTACATAAGGGGGGTCCGACCGAACCCACCCCCGTAAACATATATTTATACAATACACGTATCGCACGTGTTTGACTATTTTTCTTTGTTGTTGTTGTTGTTTTTCATTTTCAACCGGTTTCCCACCCAGTCGAATTTATACCGATTATACATACACTGGGTTCGTTTATCACGGAAAAAAGAGTGCGTCCCGTATACAGCTGTGGGCGCTCCGACAAGTTGGGGGGGGAGGGGTGCTTCGCGCGCGAGAAGAGGCGGCGGTGAGAGTGCGTGTCTATCCATCTCCTCTCGAAAAGCGCGAGGAGAGAGAGAGAGAGGGTATAGTAAATGAGTCACGGCGCCGCTGCTTCCTCCGTCGCGTACACCACCGCCGGCGAGCGTTTTCGGCCAGTCGGTCTTTGTACGCCCGGTGGTTCGGGACAAGCCCGGTGTTGCTCTCATCATTGAAAGTGTGATCTTTTTTTCTTTGGTGCTCGCTTTTGGGGGGGTAATGCACAAGCTCCGAGGTGATTGAAACAACGACAATTGTCGGCGGAACTTTTGCTTTCATCATGGTCAATAACACCGAGGAAGGGAGCCGAGGTGAGTGCTTTACGTCATTGCTCTTGTTGATTGTCACGGGGGGGTTTTTTTTTTTTTTTTTTTTCTAATTGTTTCATCCACGCCCCTACCGTGCGGATGAATCGGTGGAAAAATCAGAGCGGTTGTTTCAAATTTCACTGATTCGGTTTCACGGAGAAAAAGAGAGAGAGAGAGAAATAGCATCGATACGGCAAAAATCTTGCACATACAAGTGTAAGCTACAGGGGTTTGGTTTGTGCAACACGCACAACGCTGCAGCTGCAAAAAGCGCGATTGCATCTCGCGTGCAGCTCAGGGGGTGTACCTTTACAACACACGCCGCTTGCTTCCTATATATTTATATATATATACACGTTGCACACGTATACGCGCAATTATAGGGTATATAATATAAAGCCGTGCGAGAGTACGGACGCGTGGGGGGGGGGGGGAAATAAAAAATAAGCTCGCGCGCTAAAACAGTCGGAGGATTCGGCGCGCCGTGTACCAGTATATTATATATATATACACCTGCTTACCGCGCGGTCACACGTGTTGTTGGGATTTCGTCGTCACAGCCGCCCGGCAGAGTATATATTACGTATACAGGTGATTCCCTATAAACTCTGATTGCAAGGGTAGATTTTGCTCCCAAGCTTTCCAAACTCCGCTCCACTTGGTCCCAGCAATTTGTGGCGAAAGTGATGCTCCCCGAAACCTTGCCGTGGGTATATATATATATGTAAGAGAAAATCATGCCCCGTAGGGTGTTTGGGTTAATTATCCTCTCGCCCCGAAGAAGAGCCGAGCAGCAGAGGTCACCTTGGAACCAGACGGGGAGAGAGAGAGAGGGAGATGACGAAGCCAGCGCGCTCCGGACGACCTTTGAGTCTCCTCCCGGCTTCTCCGTTGTCGCCTCCATGCGTGGCTTGATGGCTCTTCCTAATCGATGGCCACCCGAAAATTTGTTATTGTATTGCCCGCGATACACGCGATCCGAGAGGAAAAAAGGAGGAGGGGTGGTCCATGTGTGCGAAAATTTTTTCTTTTTTTTTTTTTTTTTTTCTCTTTGCTATTTCGTGTTTCTTTGAACAAGCTGTTTTGTTTTATTTCGCAGGCCCGGCTCTTCCGGGGCAAAGGGAAAAACAAAAACAAAAAATAAAAAATAAACGACGGATGAGAGCGGGTGAGCTGGATAGAGATGCCGACCCCTTACGAGTATTGTATATGTGGGGAGCCACGCTACCGCGGAACATTACGTATATATATATACACGGCGATCTCGAAAGTAGCACTCGGCGTATTTATTTGGGGGGGAATATTATACGCTCGAGTCGTTGCGTTTAGTTGGGGGTTGTGTCTGTGTGTGGAAAAGTAGGGTGTTACAGGAAAGAGGGAGCGAAGCCGTGCGGGTTTGACGTTTCGGGGCTTTTTTTTTTTTTTCTTTATTCGAACGGCAAAAAAAAGTTTTACGAATCGATGTGTACGGGTGTACCTATATGGTTGCAAAAAGGTTTTTTTTTTCCACCCCCCGTAAGTGAGGGTTTAATCATTCGTCGGTGACTGGGGGAGAGCAAGCGCTATCTTGGGGTTTATTTCTCTGAGTGTGAAAAAGTAACCCAGAACGTCCATAATTTTATTCTAGGTATGGACATTTCGAAGCTATATACACGGAAATGAGATTTCCGAGATGGTGACTTTTTTTCCCTGATAAATTTTACAAACCTCTTGATTTTTTCTTTCTCCAGCCGTCGGCAGTTTACTTAATGGGATGCGTGGATGTTTTTTATTTAAATCCGGAAATCCTTTGTTTTATATTTATTTTTCTTTGCTTCGTTTCAGAAGTTTTTTTGATTAGTTTGGATTCTTACATTTTTTTTAAATTTAATTTAATGATTCAAGTGAAAAAACTACGCTTCCTTAAGAAACATTTCACAAGTTCACTTTTCTCCTCGAAACATTAAAAAAAAAAAAAAAATTCAACTAATGGGATACTTTTGCATACTGTGATACGACGATGCTAATTTTTTGCAAATTGCTTAAACTTCCTTAAACAGAAACATATTATTTTATGTAATTGATATTTTTAAACTGTCAAATTTATGTTGGAAACTCACATTTTTGTAAAGAATAAATAAATGACTGTTTAACCAACTCTGTAAAAGTTTGTTTAAATAACATTATGGATTTTTTTTTTTTTATACATACCTAAAGATACAAAATTTATGCTAGTTGATAAGTTAATTTGGTTATTTCTGATGTATAATTTGAACTTCTAAATAATATAGAGAACATGAAAGTTTGAATTACAAACGAAACGTGTGTGTATATACATGAAATCGATCATTTTTCCACGTACACAATAGTAATGATGATAATAATAATGCACGTGTGCACGAACACTTATACACGTATAATATTAATCTAGAGTTGCCATATTTTCGAAATCGCTGCGCCTGACGCAATCGTAAGGGATTTATGAAAGATTCACGGGAGGCGCTCGATACACGAGGCCTTCGGTCACGCACACTCAAAAAAAAAAAAAAAAAAAAAAAAAAGGAGGACGTCACNCCTTGGCTTTGACGCAAATTATCTTTAATTTTCGAGACAAACAATAATCAACCATGTCAGGCTATATCCATCACCGAGACATTCGAAATTTTTATAGGAAAAAAAAAAAAAAAAAAAAAACAGAGATCGCTTACAGTACACGCGTATAATGTGTATCATATTGAGAGATTTTTTTTTTTTTGGAAAAGTTTCTCATGCATCACAATGTATACATCATACGCTGCTAAGTTATTAATCAGTAGGCTCTATCAAAAAGATTCCTTTCTCATATTTATAGATTTTTTTTTTTTCTACTTCAACATTCAGTATGTCGAACAGTTCATACGTACACAATACGTAAAAAGGACCACTTGCAATAAGTGAATGAATAAACGAAAATTCGGGGCTTCAACTAAACATTGACCGATTATATTAGTTAAAATTAAGTTGAGTCATTATAATTATTATCATTATATTAGTAAATTTTTTGGTAAGTGATCCTTTGTGCCATTCTTTGTCAGTGACGTTTTAAGTTGTAGTAATTTTGAGAAATTTTCCCTTTTCTTGAATGAACGTCAATAGAAGAGCTTTAATGTAAGTAAAATTTCATCACCGATTCAGAAACAAACAGACAACATTTAAGTAAACGAAAACTGTTTTCACCTCGAGGAACTAGATTAGAGTATATAAAAAAGTGTCAACTGTACCCATTCCAATATTCGATGTCACCCCAATCCTTTCCCTTTAAAAGAGCAAAGACATACGAGTAGCAGCCTATAAAAAAAACATCGGAAAAACAGATTCGACGGAACGAGTCAAGTTTCAGAGGAAGAGATACAAGAAGATTGTGTACATAAATGTAGGTACTCGAGCTTAATTGCACATGAATACATCTATCGTGGGTCCAATATAGCATGTAAATACCCAAAGAGGGAAAATTTGTCTCCTCTTACAACTTATAATGAGAGTTTTTTTTTTTTTTTTTTTTTTCAACCAAGCAATTTCAAGCGCGCGTCAGTACGTGTACACACATGGGACGAAGATGAGGGGGTTGGTCGACTAGCGTGTGCTCTCCTCGATTATTAAACTCCAGAGTTTCGAGGAGAGAGCGGGCGTATAACACTCCGAGGGTTTCATTTTTTTTTTTTTCCTTTCCTCTTTTCGGTAAAATGTTATTGCGATAAAGTTACGGAAGTATCGCGATGAATAATTCAGGGCCCGCCGTAGCCGCACTATAAATACACTCTCGGCTGTACACCCATTTACACGCGTCTTTTTTTTTTTTTTTTTTTTTTTTTTTTTTTTTTTTTTTTTTTTTTTTTTTTTTTGTTGCCTTTCCTCTTTCCGCGTGTTCTCTTTTTCGCTACTCCCTGCTATCAACGTGGCGAAATTATTTTCCAACCTTTCGTTATTGTTATCGCTCGTACCACTCGTTGTGCCGCAANTTTTTTTTTTTTTTTTTTTTTTTTTTTTTTTTTTTTTTTTTTTTTTCTGTTCATTTATCGCGTTGAAGGTGGAAGTACACGTAAGTGAAATCTAGCCCTCTAGTGTAAACAAAAATAAACCCGACGAGCAATTTTTTTTTTTAACCCACTACGTGGTTACTACGTGCAACCCTTCCTCACGTGCCACCTTCGATTTAGCTTTTACTTTGCGTGTGTCTACAAGATTGTACAGCAAAACTTCCCGTCTCGGTCTCGTCTCGAGGTCCCTATGGAAATATTCTCGAGACTATAGTATTTTTCTTACAAATTATTGACTCTCGGAAGCCTCGGAAAATGTCCTTGGGACAATCTCAGAGTACATATGTATGTATAGCCGTGTCTTATACATATATAACAGGAGGTTCAGTTGGACGTACTTACGTATATATACGTATACGAGAAACTGCTTAGTTTAGATTGATGAGCCCCTCCGGTTTCCCGGACCAAATGAATCGGCCCTCGTTACAACTGCCAGGATTGTTTTCCTGATTGTTACCCAACAAAGTCCGCAGTGTAAACATACAAAGCTTTTAAAGGGTAACAAATTGAAAGGGAGCACCAGCGTGTCCATGTTATCACATATATTATTTTACAGAAGAGCCGCACAATTTGTTTCTATGTATACTACATACTAATGGATTATGTGTGTACGGCACAATGCGACCACCCCCCATCATTGCAATCGTAATCAGGTTGGAGCGAAAAAATATTTATTAGCTACGAAAGTTTGTTGTTCGGCTGTTGTTGGAAAGTATAAAGTTTTCCCTACTTTTTCAAAGAGGAGCAAAGAAACTTCATTCGTGTACGTTATACATATAGCCGTGCTCTCCTTTTACAACTTTCACACTTGTACAAGTGGGTCCGCTTTTTAGTAGTAGTAATAATAATAATAATAATAATAATGCAGTTGGCGTTACAGTCCTTTTTTTTTATTTTAATGGGTCTACGAAAAACCTGTACAAAAGTACGCCACTTCGAGCTGGAGGCTGCGATCATATCGAATCTGACGCAAATCGGTGCCATCAAAATAATGATAACTCGTTTCGAATTAAAATAAACCCGAACAAATACTAGGTTTTAATTGTTTTTGACGTAAGACGTAAAATTGAATATCATATTAATCGTGTGCCACGGCTATAATTCAATTATGCGTTGTTTTGTGTATCACAATTATATACATACATCAAAGCAATTTGAACGTACGACCCGTTGCGTAGGATTGGTAAATTGGGTTGAAAAAGCGCCAGCGACAGCGCTAATGGGATACAATTAAGATATAATCACGGGTTGATGGTATAATTCAGAGAAAGAGGGAGAAACGAGGGTATAACTTGTAGAGCCAGTTAATCTAATATTTTTCGCGTATACGACACGGTGGGTAAGGGTGTATCGATGTTGTTTCCCGACTCCTTTAATCTCAATCAGCTACGAGCCATTAGTCGCAAGTAAATGGGCAGTACCGCGAGCAATGCAAAACACGAAGGAATGACAAATGACGTAGCTATCAGAGAATATGGAAATTGAATTTTATCGGTGGAAAAAATTATCAATTAAAATTAAGCGATAACACCAACGAATGTCGTACAAATAATGCACAGAAGTTTTTTTATTTTCATTTAGAAATTTGAGCGCAGGTTACATTATAGTTATGGATAATCGCATGAAAAGATGATAAAAATTTAACTAAGAAAATTTGCCCTGACCCGTTGTTTCGCCCGCCGTCGAAAAATCGCGCTCAGAACCCGGGGTCAAGAGATAATAATGGAGAAAGAGAAGAAAAATTGGGAAACCAGTCGTCGCGCGTTGAAAGAAAATGTTTCGTCACAAATGGATACAGCCAAGCTGTACATATATAGGTGGCAATGGTCCCGTTCTCGAAATAATTCCTTCCGTACGAAAAACAAAACCGCTCCCTGCCTTTCCACCCACGCCCGAGTACGTGGCATGTGTGCACAGTTGGACCCGTACACAGAGCAATGCACATCAGAGGCACGCCAAATCAAACGAAAATGGGAAGGAGGAGCTTTTTATTTTCGGCGCTGGGATCGCTCGCTTCGTAGACCGCGTACTTATCACAACGAGCATTGAAAATCGACGCTTGTAGGCAGGCACGCGTTATCGGAAAAAACGAGTCAAAGACCTGAAAAGGTGTCGCCTATAGCGCAGGCACTGTACTTCTCATACGTGTTATACACCCGCGATGTGTAATATGTATTCCGCAAAGATTGTCCGTGCAGGGGTGATGAGGCGCGTCGATTGGCAAGTTGCCCGCGAGTCTAAAACCTGTTGTACCTTATTTGCCTTATTATTTCGCGCGCGCATCGGATGCCCGTTTGTGTGCACATACGTTTGGGCTTATCCTCTATTGGGGAAGATTTATGCCCTCCGCGAGGGGAGATTTAAATCGAGGATGAGAAATGGGGAGGTATTTTTCTCTTCTCTCTTTTTTTTTTTTTTCCACAAAAGTTCGACGAACGATACCGATCTTGCGATTCGACGGAGGAACGAGTTGAGCGGCTGATGAATTACAACGCGACGATTCGTACCTTTCGGGAGACGATGATGTTTCAGTTAAGGGGGAGGTGCTTTCTTTTGAAGGTGTACGGCGTTTCTGTTTTTGCTCGAGATTAACGACTCTCGCGTGTCACTCAGCCTCCGGAACAAAACGAGAGCAGCCACCGTACCCATTAGTCAGCATCGACAGGTCGTATACAGAGCACATTTTGTGTATTGTCTACAGGAGGAGGACTGTCGGCCCGTTACTACATGGCGATGATGGGCTCCGTCGGATTGGCCATTATTTACGGCTTCAAAGTCAACCTGAGCATAGCCATAGTCGCGATGGTCAACAGCACTGCCGTCAGAGAAATGAACCTCAACAAGACTATCCTCTCGCACAACGCCACCGTCAAGGTACCGCAATAATATATACCCATGTATTCCCCCCTCCCCCCCCTTTGTAACATCTTGTGTGTAACTCTGCCGTTGATGCGATTACTCCCTAATGGAGCTCGGTACCATACCGTAAGTGCATGGTCGATCGATCGGACGTTCTCACTCGAGTTGGTCCCGTTTGGAGAGCGGAGCTTTAAAACAATTCTTGTTTAATGGCAATTAAAAGTGCGAAAGTGAAAATACCTGTACAGGTGCACAACCTGACGCGGAATCCGAGCAGCGGTCTGGCGAGCGTGAGTTTGTCGGATCCGAGGCAGCAGCAGCAGCAGCAGCGGGAAGATGGGCCATTCGTGTGGGACGATAATGAGGTGGGCCTGATACTCAGCATGTACTTTTGGGGCTACATCGTGTCGCTGATGCCCGGAGGGATGATGGCAGAGTACGTGTCCGCCAAGTGGGTGCTCAACGTCTCGGTTTTCCTCAACGTCGTTGCCTCGTTGCTTATGCCCATTGCCGCCGAGATACATTACGCCGCTTTCCTCGTCATGAGGGTCATCCAGGGCATTGGTGGGGTAAGTCGTTTTTTCTTTTTTTTTTCTTTTTTTTTTTTTTTTTTTTTATAGTTGTACAAAACCGAAGAAAAAAAAAGGAAAAAAAACATTTATCATCAATTTAGGAAATAATGATACTAATATATTTTCGTGGAAAATTACAGGGTATCAGTTTTCCCGCAGTTCACGTCATGGTGGCCAAGTGGGCGCCGCCGAACGAGCGTAGCGTTCTCGCCTCCATCGCATACGCCGGTACGTCCTATTAAATACATACCCACTTGTGATATGATAGATACCATATTATTGTATTAATATTTCACGGTATTGGTACATAAATATAGCGCGCATCTCACAGATATTGGCCTTCGTTGAAGCACTGCCGTTGCTTTATTTATTAAAAAAAAAAAAAAAAAATT